TAGCTAAAAGGAGATGGAGAGGCTCAATTATAGCATCAAAGACATGGTCAGGTGCTGACTGTGGAACAGATCATGAATTGCTAACATGCAAGTTCCAAGTAACAAGAAGGAAGTATTGATGATTAATAAGAAATAGGACTTCAGAACTGGTGTTCAACCTGTTTTAGATGTAGTTTTATTCCACCTAAAATGCAGGTTCCGTTAGGGACTTTCATCTTCAGCTATTATTGGTTTTACAGGTTGCATCGGTGGCAAGGAACACATAGCAATTATAGTTAGTATAGCAGGCATGATCCTTTGTGAGCTAAGATTTGGCAACAATTTCACACCTTCTTTATATATGTCTTAACTACTGCAACATACTCTAGATGTGATTACCCTTGAAAAGTTCCTGGAAGTTACAGTTTGTGGAAATGTGGCAATTAGTCTTGTAACTAAAATAATCACATGTATGGTATATACTGAAATATCTGTACTGGTTTTCAGTTGCTTTATGGATGCATTTTAAGGTCTTAAAGGTGTTACCTTTAAAGGTCTAAATGTTTAGGACTTGACAACTGAGGGAATGGCTTTCTTGCTTCAACCTGTCCACACATTACAATCATCAGAAGACTTTTTGAAGATACACTCACTATTGGAGGCCTATGCAAAAGGATGCTTCTCCTTACATTACTTGCAGGCTACAGAATGCACTGTTTCAGCTGCTGCATTGGCCCCCCTCCCTCCACAACTTTAATTGTTAATCAGTTTTACAATGTTAATTTACATTTTAACATTTGGGATATTTTTGTTCTTTATATTTATTAGCTGTTCTCAGTACTCATTTGACTGGAAGGTCAGGGTAAAAATAGAATAAGGGAGAAATATAGAGTCAAGCTCAACTGCTGGTAACTACAGGGACACATCCATGTAATTTTCTTGCAACAGTACTGAAATGCTTTGACACTGCCTTCTTTAGCAATGTTTTTTCAACTCCCCAATTTAGCCTACAGTGCTGGGATTTTCTGGTAATTTTCATTCATGTATCAACCACGTATGACCCTGCATAGCCTTTTTCTAGATTAAATGAATTAATAATGAACATTTTGATAGTCCATAGGACTTGTGTTTGACTCAGA